TAAACCAGCAAAGGACCAGCTTAAACCAGCATCCCAGCGTCAAAACATATAGCATATGCTGTTTTTTTCAACACACAGCACAAACTTAAACCGTTGAATGCACACTGATTTACGGTGTTCCTCATGTGATCGAGCTAACATACTCACATGTTCATGACATGTTGCGACAGAACAGGAAATGTTGCTTAGCAGGCCTGTTTAAAACAAAGTGTGAGTCTGAATAATGCAGGTCAGAAGTTTGCATGACTGCATGGCTGTGCTCAGCATCAGCTGACGTTTACACACGTTACATGCTGGAAAGTGAAGAGCAACTTCCTCAGCAGGAATTCATGTTCTGTTTTCTGAACTGGAACATAGACTCAGCATATCTAACTGATTCATGTTACTCTGCACAAGCCTTGAGAGCGACTGGGTGCAGTGTGATCATAAATTATGCTGAGTATGATTTTTTCCGTGGGTCAGTTGGTTAATTACCGTATTAAAGTTGCTTGTTTTTAGTGAATACTTGTAAGATCTTGTCTTTTCAGGAATACAGGCTCTTGCTTGTTCATTTTTTGATCATCTGATGGTGATAAGCAGGAAAAAGTAAACAAGAGTAAAGACTGAAGAGCTTGTCTTAGATAATGCATGGGAAGATAATAATGGGAAACTTGCTGTTTACATACATTATGTTATCAGTCATGTTTTATGTGGGATATCATGTTTTCGTAGAAGTGTTGTCAGAAACATGCTATCTCTGACCTCATGACGTATTGATTTGTTTGCATATTGAGTCTGTCTTTGCTAGAGGTTGGCTAAGGGAACACACTGCCACCCCTGAAATCCATATTGAAAACCAAGCATTACAACTTTATGTAGTTCCTTTTTGTCGTTTTTACTGCTCACATCTTTCTAAAGGAAAAGGCATTACATTAGATGACAGTTGTGTGTGATTTTAGCTGTCCAGTTGGGTTTCAGTTTCCTAGAACTTCTCACACTGCTTCCTGCTTTCCTGTCCTCTTTTATCGAAGCACGTGTGACCTTTGCTCCGACAGTTTTTGTTTTAGATTGTTTGCCAATTGTCGTGCAAGTAGAAATTATTTTGGTTCAGAGATCCAAGCCTAGAAAGAGCATGCATACACAAAGTATCTTATTCAGAAAGTTTGAGTTTTTGTTTATTTGAATTCTGATATTATTTTTGATGAAATGTGATTGCCTCACAGGATGGCAGTGCCCCGTATGGTGCCAGGTATGTTGGGTCGATGGTGTCTGATATACACCGTACCATTGCCTATGGTGGCATATTCATGTACCCAGCCAATGAGAAGAATCCAAAAGGAAAGGTGAGTCGACTAAGCTTTTACGGCATGATGATTTTTAGCTCATGTGTTTTAAGATATTCAGGACAAACATTCATACAAAAAGCACATCGGGTATTAGTGATGTGAGGAAATAATATAATGAATATGATGAAAGATAACAGACTTTAATTATACCATGTTACAGTAAAGTGTTTCATGCAGCATAGGTTGTCAGGTTAACATTGTTGTGTCCAGCTTGCCAGTATTATTTATATATTATATAGTATTTATTATTATTCTGAATTATCTTTTACTTTTATTTATTTTAGTTTAACTTTGTGTTTTTGATATTTGTATTATTTCTTTACGTTTAGTATTTTTATTTAGATTTATTTTTATTTCATTTTTAGTTCTTATGAGTGATATTTGTTTATTTTATTTCAGTTAGTTGCCAAGGCAACATTTCTCATTTTTGTTCAAGTTTAATTTTAAATCTAACATTTAGTTTATTTCTATTTTATTTTAGTTTCAGTTTAAGTTGTAGCTTTAGTTAACAATAACAACACTGCAGCAGACTAGGTCACTATGTCATAACCATAGACTGTATAAAAACATGGAAGTAGTGTCCATGACGTCACCCGTAGTTTTCCGAAAAGCGTTTTTTAAGCTCAAAGTGGGCGGAGCCGGCCGTCGCCATCTTGGCAGTGCGTCACCGCGCGTCACTCCCGGATAATCGAAAATGGGCAAAGAGGCGGGAGCTGGTTGTTGAAACGCATTTTAACATGGGGAGTCTATGGGTTGACTCCCTTTTGCAGCCAGCCTCTAGCGGCCAGTTGACGAATTACAGTTTAAGTCACTTCCGTGTTGGCTTCACAAGAGAGAGCGGGAGGTTGCTGCTTGGTCATAACACATAAGAAGACTTTCAAAATCCATAAGCCTCTGTTGTGTTTTATGCTGTAGATTACTTTGTTTTATGTCGCTCATTCCACGGCAGAGAGCTGTGTCATTCCTGACACTAGCGACTAAACACATGACATAAGCCTAGACTGGAACAAATACACACTATAGCATGAAAGCAGCGAACCAGATATTATATCTGCAGTTCATGCTGCTTTTCAAAAAAAATGCCAGTGTACAAACTTTCATATGTATTGACACATTCCAGTTTCTCTGTTCTACATAGATAAGAATAAAAAGAAACCGTTCTCAGTGAACTCAAAAACGTATTCCATGCTTCTTAGTTGACCCAATGCACAACTGATAAGTGCTCATGGTTTAGACCCTTTGAAAAATAACCTGAAATGAGCAAATCAGCATTAAGTAACTTCTAAGGTTCTCACTTGTTTCATTCTCTCCAGCTGAGGCTGTTGTACGAGTGTAACCCCATAGCCTTCCTGATCGAGCAGGCCGGGGGCATCGCCACGACAGGCACCCAGCGCGTCCTGGATGTTATTCCCGAGTCACTGCACCAGAGGTTGCCCTTTGTGGTGGGATCCCCAGACGATGTGGAGGAGTACTTGTCTTTTGTCAAGAAACATAAAAAGTAGAGATTTCGGGTTGCGATTTGATCTATTTAAAGCCCACACATGACATCGAGATACAAAACATCACTGTAGCTTTTTTTTTTTTTTAAATAGTAAAAGCAATGCTACTGTAAACAGAATCACATTTAATTTCCAGTATTTAAAATCATTTTTTTACCCTTATTTCACCAATCACAGATTTGCTCTTCAGCCCCTTTGGCAATCTTTCTTCCTCACTTATTTTATGTGAACATACTGTGCCTTCAGCAGTGTGTTGTTAGTTGGGAAAGTGTTTACACCCTCTCGTTCGAACAGACCCATCCCTACTAGTAGAAGAGTCAAAACCTCAATAATCTCCACTCGGCAAGTCTTAGTTTGCTGGTCATGATGACGGCCCATGTAATGGCAGCGTGCCAAGAGATAAACAAATAGAACACGCTGTATTGTTGGAGCAAAAGAACAGCCCTCCATATTAATTTTCACCTCAGCAGGTCACAATAGGCATAGGCAAGGGAAAACAGAACTTTTGTGGCACTTCCAGAAAACCGTTTTTTCCCTTTAAAACCCTCATTAAAGTAATACTGATCCTAGATATGCTGCTTAGGTTAAAGTTTTAGAAAGCAGTACTGTAAATACAGAACCATTCAATCATAACCAGCCAACTTCTTGTTTAAGTAGGCTTAGGTAGACTAGTTTATATTTTCTGTTCGCTCATCTCAGTCAACAAAACATCATGATGAGGTGATCGGAATAAATGTTTTGGAACTGATATGGAAAGCTACAGCAAAATATACACACTGGTTCAAAAGTTTGGATAGTTTTTGAAAGAAGTTTCTTATGCTCACCAATGCCTCAGTGTCACATGATCCTTCTGATGTTGATTTGGTGCTCAAGAAACATTTCTCATTATTATAAATGTTGACAATGCTGTTTAATATTTGTGGTAACTGATGCGGTTTTTTTTTTTCATCCAGAAAAAAAAAAAAAGTGTTGTAACATTATAAATGTTCTACTGTCACTTTTGATCAATTTAATGTAGCTTTGCTGAATAATAAAGTCTCACTGCCCCCAAACATTTGAACAGTAGTGTATGCATTTATGAACTGTTTTTAAATTCTAGATATAAAACTAATAAAAGAATATAAAATCCAAGCCAAAAACAAAACGGTTGAATTTTTAAAAGTTTAATTGATCATACAGAATGTAGAAATAAAAAACACATTTGTACATTTAGACTTACACTGAAGAACACGTATTTACATTGAGGCAAAAATCAACTGAATTAGTGGCATTAAAATGACTAAAAACATTTGCAAAAATTCCCTAAAACAGTGTCACACAACACCTAGAGTTTGAGGTTTCTCTCTCACAGTCTCAATCAGGCTGTGAGACACACAGTCACATGTGTCAGGTGACTCCTTTTTCACTACACTAGTGGGTTTCAGTGAACCACTCAGGCATGGAGACACTAATGTGGCCTTCTGGTACCATGTCGTGATACTGAAGGTATCTTCCTTAGACGAGAGGGTAGCTAGCTGCTGTAGCAATACCACAGTGGTTGTGTCGGTCCTTGGCCATGTAGATGTATCCTTCATCACCCCAGTTCTCACTCCAGCTAGAATACAGAAAAAGCACATTGGGTTAAAAAAAACGCTGACTTTAAACACTGGCCATTGACTGGATTTTAGGGTATAAAGGATCTTACCTGTTCTTGACTATCCAATACTTCTTTCCATCAACATCCTCACCCTCAAAACCATAACCAACAGCAAGGACGCCATGATCTAGCTCCTCGCTGCTGCAGTCTTTCTCATAGTAGATGCCTAACAAGAAATATACATCCATTAGTGCACACCAATTGGGAATCTCCTGCACTAAATTCTCATAATGGAGTCATTTAGTTGGCTTAACTACGAATGGTGAGAAATATGCACACCTGACTGGTAGAACTGGAAAGACTCGTGTCCAGCGTCAATAGCCACAGACACCGGCCCCACAGCAGCTATAGCTTTCATCAGAGCATGTTCCTTTCCACTGGGAATGTCAACGAATCCGGTGTCATTAGCTGCGCTGTTGTTGGGATCGTAATGGCAGGGCTGATCATCCTGAAAATGATAAGCAGCATGTATGTTATGGTGATCCTTCATATAATTAGTCAGTATAATTTCATAAGAATAAAAGGTAATGTAACTTACAGTTCCCAAATAGGGGTAGGACTCCTCCGAGTCCAGACCGTTCTGGTCCTTGATGTACTGGAAGGCCTGGTCCATGAGACCTCCATTACAGCCCTCGTTGCCTTCAGGACGGGAGCATTCCACCAGGTTCTGCTCACTCAGAGACACCAGTTTTCCGGTCTTCCTGAACATCTGCCCCTCCATGGCTCCAGTAGTGCTGAAAGCCCAGCAAGAACCACACTCACCCTGGAAATATCACATATGAAACCGTTTAGACCAGTTGTTCTCAACAAGTTGACTTGGATGACAAATTAAAAAAAAAAAAAAAAAAAAGATAAAAACAAGCATCAAAATAAGCTACAACAAATTAAAAAAAATCTAAATATTTCCATTTTTGATTATCCCTTTCAACATGTTTTTTCTTTAAAGAACAAGTGTTCACACTAAAAACCTTGATATGTGAGGTGGCCTAGTTTTAAAAGTGTGATTTCTAAATCTGGAAAAACTAAAATCTTAAAACGCCATGGGCATGTTATTATGAATACACATTTTACTAGTTATGGCATTTTACTAGTTTTATGTAAAATATTTTATAGTGTAGAAAGTGCGTAAAAAAATAAATAAAAAATTATGTAACCATTAAATGTTTTTTTTTTTAAAGACCATTTAAATCTTTTAAATAAATAAATACACACACCCTATGTACTGTATACATATATACACAAATTAGAAAAAAATAATAATGTCATATAATTATTACTTATATATATATATATATATATATACACACTTTTTTTTTTTTAAATA